ACGCATCGATTCGCTACAGGAGGCCTTTGTTCACCCCCCGGAGCCGTGTGAGACGCTTTTTTTAATGGATGGGCGATTTTTATTTAAGTTCTTTTGGACTGAAGCAATGCAACACCCGCTGAGTGTCATTAAACGGCTTGAAAGATCAAAGACAATTTTTAATATAACTCTGCCTGGATTCGTCTGAAAGAAGAAAGTCACATACACCTAGGATGCCTCGGGGGTGAGTAAAACGCAGCCTAATTATCATTTTTGGGTGAACTAACCCTTTAAGTTAAAAACGTCTTGATGGATTTGTTGATCAGCTGTTTGGACTCTCATTCTGACGGCACCCATTCACTACAGAGCATCCATTGCTGAGCAAGTGATCGAATGCTACATTTCTCCAAATCTGATGAAGAAACAAACTCATCCTAATCTTGGATGGCCCGAGGGTGAGCACATTTTCAGCAGATTTCCATTTTTGGCTGAACTGTTCCTTTAACAGCTGTCCTCACCCACATTATACTCCTAATGCTCATTCTTCATTGTGCATGAAATTATTTTTAGTCCTTGGCCGAGTGTAATCTTGCTCTATGAATCTGGGTCGTGGTGTCTGAAGTGTGTTTGTGTGTGTTTCAGGGGTTATGTGTGCATCATCACTAACGTAGCCTCTAAATGAGGTAAGACTCCTGTAAACTACACTCAGTTTGCGGCAATGCACGCCACGTACGCTGAGAAAGGTTTACGCATCCTGGGCTTCCCCTGCAACCAGTTTGGAAAGCAGGTATGTACAGCAATAAAATGCCAATTTGTAGTGCATTATATACTTTATTCTGTGTACTGCATAGTACACTATGCAGTATTTTAAAGAGTGATATTGTATGATATAGTGACTCCACATGACCTGATTACGTTGCATGTTTAATCCAGTGAGTGGTGTTCAGTTTGCATCTCGGAAGTGATTTTATTTTTGCTTTTTGTTCCAGTTTTGTGTAAAAATGGTTAATGAGTCAAGAAAGAGTAAATATTGAAATCTTTAATATTGCTTCAGGTTCATTTGCAATTCAAGCATGTTGCATTATGGGATACTGAATTCCATGCATACAGAAAATTAGCATTCTATGCAATGCATACTTGCTGCAGAAGAAGGAAGACTTAGCAGTGGCATTATATTGTGAATGAAAACACTTTCAGTCCTGAACATTTGTTCTTTAATGAAATGTAGCAGACTGTAAGAGCGTTCGCTGTCATGACTGTAAGTAGGTCACACGAGTGAAGCTGTAAGTGGATTATTTTGTGTTGTGGGGTGAGATTTAATCTTACAAGAGATACAAAATTCATTTATTTGCATTATCAGTCTTCATTTTAATTTTAGTTTTTTGTAAATTTAATATGTGCTTCTGTCAATTTAAATGGGTTTTGGGTTTTTTAATATTATTTTTAGGTTTATTTTTGTTTTAGTTTAAATTTTTTGGTCACAAGTTTGGTCATATACACACACACACACAGTGTATATACACTACCGGTAAAAAGTTGGGGATCAGAACGATTTTTAATGTTTTTTACAGGAGTTTCTTCTGCTCATCAAAGCTGCATTTATTTGATCAAAAATACAGGAAAAAATGTAATATTGTGAAATATTATGATGTAAAATAACGTTTTTCTATTTTAATATACGTAATAACATTTTGCAAGATTACTGTTTTTTTTTCTGTATTTTTGATCAAATAAATGCAGCCTTGATGAGCAGAAGAGACTTCTTTAAAAAACATTACAAGTCTTACTGATCCCAAACTTTTGACCGGTAGTGTATATATATGTGTATGTGTGTGCATTTATTTATTTAATATGTGTGTGTGTGTGTGTATTTATTTATTCATTTAATTTTATTTCAACTTTATTTCAATTACATGTTCAATTACATCTTTATTTAAATTAAATGTTTTTAATAGTTTTAGTTTACAGACAAATGTATTTTGCTTAAAAAATGAATGTGCAAAACACTGTGTGCTGTTAGAGTTCTTAATATTACAGTGTTCTTCAAACATTCTGATTTAAGTTCAAAGAAAATCTCCCTCTGACTCTCACAGAATGTTCAGCGTCAGAATGTAACAGGCGGCGATGATGTCATCACAATATTTGCATACGGAACTGTGAATGACTGATCTTCCCTGCATATTATTAAGCATTTATAGCCACTTTAACTTGATTGTCACAGTACTCAAACGCTCCTCACAGACTTACAATGGTTCTTCAGCTTTAAGTGTTCAGTTTTGTAATCCAGCAGCGAGGTGTTGTGTGTTTTACAGGAGCCTGGAACAGAGGCGGAGATCAAGGAGTTTGCCAAAGGCTACAACGCAGAGTTTGAGCTCTTCAGTAAGATCGAGGTGAACGGCGACGGGGCTCATCCGCTCTGGAAATGGATGAAGGAGCAGCCCAAAGGCAGAGGAACTCTGGGAAAGTGAGTCTGACTGGTTTGTTTATTCTTAGTTGTCACTTATTCTCTTATGCAAATTTGCAGAAATATATTTTTTTTACGATGAAGGGCTGTGTAATTCTTTAATGTATGGAATCGGACATTTTTACTGAAGATGTATTATGTCTTTTTAAATTGATGAACTTACTCTGTAATGCACTGATCATTTGGCATGAAACTGTTTTTATTTCCGCAGCAACATCAAGTGGAATTTCACTAAGGTAACACTGCTTTTTTAAATAGTTGTGTGTTAATAGATGGTATTATTCTCTGATTCTCTGACCTCATAACTGTTGTTTTTATCATAGTTCCTCATTAACAGAGAAGGTCAGGTTGTGAAGAGGTACGGACCGATGGACGATCCAAGCGTAAGTCGATTAAAAAATAATTTCACCCAAAAATAACATTGTGTCGTCATTTAATCAGCCTAATGTCATTCCAAGTCATATAGGTTTGAAGCGGCATAAGGGTGAATAAATAGTCCATCTGAGAAAAATTTACTTGAGAAAATTGTGTTTGTTTAAATGTTTTAAATTTTATTAGGTATAATTACATTTATTTTATTAAATATATATTTTTTTTAATTATGGATTTATAACATAATTATAATATACATAACATATGAATTTATTAAATGTAGTAAAATTTAAATAAAATTATATACAATTTGTATAATGTGTCTGTTTAAAAAATTAGAAATGCATAACATTTTTAAATTCATTGCATTTGTATTTGTTTTAAATTTTATGAAACAAATTTTGTAGATCTATAAAATTAAACAATTATTGATTTTATTAAATTAATTTGTTTGTTTTAAATTGTATAAAAAATTTAAATATTTTTCTATTTATAAAAAATGAAGCTACATTTATTAAATTTATTTGAATTTGTTTAAATTTTTATAAATTAAATAAACAATTACATTTATTTTATTCATTTTATTAAATGTATAATAATTAAAGATGAAATAAAATAAAAAAATAAAGTCCCATGTTTTTTGTCCCATCAGGTTGTTGAAAAGGATCTTCCCAAGTACCTGTAGCCGTTTGGATCAGACCCGATCTCCGTCCCATGTGTTTGTAGATGTGCGTCTCCTCTCTGGTCCATGGCTGGATGTTGGCAGGGTGAAGCCCAGATGTGTGACGGCCGTTCCTCAATGGAGAGTCCCCACTTTTCACAAAAACAAACCTGTGTGTGTGGTTTTTCAAGTGTATTGTAGTTTGAGTGTCACCCGGTAGAGAGCGGTATTTTCCCATTTAAAAACTGCAGTGTTTTCCTAAAGTGTTTTTTTTTTTCAGTAAATGTTTTATTGTAGTTATTAATTATTATTTAATTATATTATTATTATTATTTAATTTTATATTAGTATTATTTGATAAATTATTCATTACCTCCCTTGCAAATTCCATTTCGAGAAACCCTGAAATAACTTAATAAATCAAATGAAATTTATTTAAATTAATGAAGTGGAATCATGACTGCTAAAAATCAGCATTAAATACAAAAATAGCTGTAATGCACAAGACTTGACATAACTTATGCATTTTACATTAAAAATGATTTGGGTGGCTGATGGCAAATAATGAGATAGAAGAAGGAAATTCACTTTTTTCCCTTTACGTTTTTAATATTTGGGATATTTTGTTGCCATTTTTGCCTAGTTATGTTAGTATAATTTATAACAATAGTTTTTATTAAAATTTTGAATATTTTTTTAATCCTTTCAGTTTTGATTGTATTTATTTATTTTGTAGTTTTATGCTTTTGACTTTAAGTATTACTATTTGATTAATTTTTTTACGTTTTTCTTTTTTTTATTTTTTTATTTCCAGTTAGTAATTTTAGTAACAAAAATTATTAATGTTGCTTTGATAACTAACTTAAATAAGTTTACATTTTTCTTCTTAAATGTAATTTTATTTCAGCTGTATTTTAACAAAAATGTTTTGTCAATTTTCTGACCCTTCATGCGGATTGTCCCCTCTAAGTCTCTTGATAGTCACCTTGAATAAATAACTTTAGTTGATAAGCGTCCTGAACGTGTGTGTGTGTGAGTGAGTGAGTGTGTGAGAGTGTGAGTGTGTGTGTGTGTGTGTGTGTGTGAGTCGCCTATGGAGAGTCCCCACTTTTCACAAAAACAAACCTGTGTGTGTGGTTTTTCAAGTGTATTGTAGTTTGAGGGTCACCCGGTAGAGAGCGGTATTTTCCCATTTAAAAACTGCAGTGTTTTCCTTTTTTTTTATGGTAAATTTGTCCTCTCACTATTTAATTTACTGGAAAATTGGAGGCTTTTATAGTGCTTTAAACTTAAATAATATTTAAATGAAATGCCTTTATTGCAGCATATGTACATTCCTCCGTGGGTGACGTCATTGTGAAAGGCGATACTCGGGTGACGTCACTGCTGCGCGGACTCGCTCACGCGCCGCACCGCGGACCCGGATCATGACGCGCGCTCCGTGTTTCCTTGCTTTGGTTCGCGTTGACGCTCCGCGGCTCGCTTGATCCGGATCCGATGGAGGGAGCCGCGGCCGGAGGATGCGCGGCGGAGGACGCGGACTCGCTGATGGATGCTGCAGATCTCGGTATGCGGGGGGTCTTTTACATTCAGGCTTCTGTTGCACATCGATTCAATGCATATAAATGGTTTTCCATACAAACATACTAGGTTTAAAATTATTATCTTATAATAGTCATGTTGGAAGTACCTGACAGTACCAGGGTTATGAATATGTTAATCGAACAGTACCATGGCCATTACGCCTATGGAGAGTCCCCACTTTTCACAAAAACAAACCTGTGTGTGTGGTTTTTCAAGTGTATTGTAGTTTGAGGGTCACCCGGTAGAGAGCGGTATTTTCCCATTTAAAAACTGCAGTGTTTTCCTTTTTTTTTTATGGTAAATTTGTCCTCTCACTATTTAATTTACTGGAAAATTGGAGGCTTTTATAGTGCTTTAAACTTAAATAATATTTAAATGAAATGCCTTTATTGCAGCATATGTACATTCCTCCGTGGGTGACGTCATTGTGAAAGGCGATACTCGGGTGACGTCACTGCTGCGCGGACTCGCTCACGCGCCGCACCGCGGACCCGGATCATGACGCGCGCTCCGTGTTTCCTTGCTTTGGTTCGCGTTGACGCTCCGCGGCTCGCTTGATCCGGATCCGATGGAGGGAGCCGCGGCCGGAGGATGCGCGGCGGAGGACGCGGACTCGCTGATGGATGCTGCAGATCTCGGTATGCAGGGGGTCTTTTACATTCAGGCTTCTGTTGCACATCGATTCAATGCATATAAATGGTTTTCCATACAAACATACTAGGTTTAAAATTATTATCTTATAATAGTCATGTTGGAAGTACCTGACAGTACCAGGGTTATGAATATGTTAATCGAACAGTACCATGGTATTCACACTAAATACAATCACTGACTGTTTTTCTGCCATAGCACTATTTTTATTCTAAGTGGTATAATGTTTAGATTGTTTATGTTCATGTAAATTGCATTGCTGTAGGAACATAGCATGGAAAGACATCATTTTACCATGGCATAAGGCAATCAGTACCTTAGTATATTAAAATACCATGGTTTTGTCATCAGATCTCATCACTGAATCATGATACTGCTACACTACATTTTTTAAGTGACATAAGATTTGTGTTATATATATATATATATATATACGTTTTGTGTGTGTGTAAATAGATATAAATCCATGTATTTTACCCAACACCATGGTATTCTTTACCATGGCAATCTTCAAAGTACTACAGGACATGAATATCAGATTTATTAATATCAGAATCAGAATGAGCATTTGTTAGACCAACACATTTTGATATATTTAGAATCTTATATTGTTTATATAGGCTATGCATATATGTATTTATATATATATATATATATATATATATACATATATGTATTTATATTTCTGTATACATTATTAATCTTCTGTTAATTTTAATGTAGATGGACTAATGTAGAAGTAAAAATTCAGATTTGTTCCTCATTATTATTAAATATTATTTTATAAAATATAAGATGTTTATGTGTACAGATCGTAATGTATAGATGCAGTGTGTGTTTATCTGTAGGGGACGTGTGTGTTAACATCATGTGAATGTCAGTCCGAGTGTGTCCTTCAAATGCAAACTCAAAGTCAGTCTGAGTAATAATGCTCTGAAGTGTCTCGCTGAGCTGGACAGTGTTGCCTTGTGTTGACAGCTGTTCCTGTAGAATATCCTGTTGAGAACACACAAACAGGGGTCTCTTTCAGGTCCTGTGGGCATGATTTTAGCTGCTCGGTGCTCGGCTGCTAATCCTGTTTTTTAGCCACGGTTTTCCGCACTCAGCGTTCCTGTTCATCACGGATTCAGAGCGTGTGCCACCGTCACATGATCGTCTCTTCTGTCTGTTGATGTTCAGTATTACTGTAGTGCTGACACAGCATAGGGAGCTGTACAGTTTGATATTCCTGCTGCAGCTCTGATGAGAAGAAGATGAGACTTAATGGAGGTCTCGGTTATGCTTCGTTCAAATTTGAACCTTGTATCAGAAGTTTCTGCTAAATTCTATTGGAGCAATAAAAATGCCGTAAGAGAACAGCTGTGAAATGCATATGGAGAGCAGTTCTGATTATTCAATGAGAAATCATTGAGTTCATGTTGAGATCTCTGACTTTTCATTGCAGACTTCAGTGTCTCATTGTTGAGATCTCTTCTGAAATACTAGAGGAGACTCATGTGAGGTTTCCCAAAAAAAAAAAAAAAAAACTATGAAAAGCAGAATGCAGCCTTTTTTCTCCATCTGACCTCTTTGCTGTCTCTGAGAAATAAGTGAGACAGATATATAGGGGGCATCAAGCATTTCTCATCAGAGTTAATAAAATGATCAGGGTGTTTAAGAGAAACATCTGAAAGTTTGTACTTGAGACTTGAATTAAAAACTCATTTATGTCTCCTGAGCTTTGAAAGTTCAACGTATGAGCAATGCAATGTAATAAAATCCTCTGGGTTCTGGCAAATCTGAAACTCTAGAGGAGACATACACAAGATTAAGGAGGTCTTTTTCTAAGCAGAAACATCTGAGAAGTAAGATCCTCTAGTTTGATCGGGCAAATCTAGAGGAGAAAGATACGAGACTGCTGAGATCGTTTTCTCTGGAGAAACATCTGAGAAGCAGTAGACTTCAGCAATAGTTTCCATTAGCTCTCCATTTAATTTCATTCCTCTTAAGAAGAAATGCTGCCAAGTGAGTGATTCTGTATTAGAAATGTGATCCCGTTTGTTTCTGTGTGAGCAGTGTGTGTTTGCAGCACAGACAGATGCTCTTCACGTTAAACCTGCTCTCAGATCAGATCTTATCCTGGAAAATAAAGCTGGCCTCACGTCATTCTGTCCGAGATCACAGTCAAATTTGGACAAATGCATGCATTTAAAGCTCCGTAGAAGCATATCAGGCAATCGCAGGAAGGAAACGGGCGTTTCGGGATGCATTATGGGAGGAAGCACATCAAATATGTGTTGCTGAACACGTTCCAGGATTCAGAAGATCTTGCTCTTGTTCTTAATAGTTGTCTGCTTGACAATGTTGCACTGAAGTCATATCGTAGATTAGTGGTTTTTAACTGGTTTTTCTAATGACCAAAATCCAGAACTAAACAGTTTGTTTTTTGAAAGTAACATCAAACACTGACGTTTATGAATATTGCTACATTTTTTTCTCCCTTTAAAAGCTGATTTAAAAGTCTAACACTTCACTTCAAGCCTTTATATACAGTATATAATACATTATAAAAAAATATATTTAATGCATTAATTTGATGACTTATGCACATTTTTGTGCATTGCATGAGCTCATGAATAATTGTAGCCACAGTTAATGCATGGTAATACTTCATAATAATAATGCTTTTTGTCACACCTTTAAGTATAATGCATTAAAACACAACAAACAACCAGTTTCAGATGCAACAAAGAGTCTGCATAATGCATTTTAACTTATTCATGAAAATATGTAATGCACCAAACACATTCTAAATACCTTTGGTAATGCATTATACAGAAAGGTTTCAAGTGCTACCGTCTTTATTCTGCTATTATAAATATGCATGATTATAGGATTTCTAGCATCTTGTTTTTTGCC